TAAATCTATATAATACTATTTTCTATCAACTATTATTATCTGCACTTTCTGCGTTTACGATCTAAATACATCAATATTACTAATAAATTTACAAGCATTCCCATTAAATTTGAATGTAACTGTTTCTATTTTAAATAGTTTCACAACAGTCGTTACATTCATTTTGAATAAATCACGAATGCGTTTAATTCAGACCATGACTATCTCTTTGAGATTACCACAACAATCATATGAAAATTTATCTAAACTGGTTCATGCCAAGAACATTTTTGAATTATTTTTTTATAGTCGCGTGTGTGCCGTTATTTTACTACAATCTAAAGTACACTGTCTTGCATCAGATTTTGCATATAACGTTTTGCTTATATTTCAAATAAATATGCTATACATGAATTGTGTTTGCATATTAAAAGCTCGTTTTAAACAAATTAACAGTCTGATCTGTTAATGAATGTATCTGCGAATACTCACGACTAACGACGAGCCATATCTTTTGAGAGGAATCCATCATAAACAGAGAAATACATTACTGCTAATGCAACTCAAGGATCTGATAAAACAGCATCTGGCAATCAGCGACATAGACGCTGACAACAATCTTCAGTTAGCAACTCCTTTTTACGATAATTTTGGCCTTCATTAAAATCACTTTCCATCTGCACTTTTTCTTAGTGCGATTACAAATATATAAATATAAATATGTAAAAAAGAGAATTATCTTATAACTTACAAAATATTATAATGAAGATATCCGATTTAAACAGATAATTATTACAAGTTTATGCAATAACTTCATAAATGCATATATATATATATGCAGCCAAGAATCTGTAATTCATAGGTCGGTATTAAATCTGCATAATTACGATGATAGTGTTACGTCTGTATTGGACTTACTTAAAGTATTGGTTTATAAAAAAAGTTTTTTAAATCGTACATAAACTCAACAATAATATTGAATACTCTAAATGCAATTCTTTAAGAAAATTCTAAAGTGAAACCAGAACTCTGATGATCGCTGTTTTACCGATACAATGCAACACACCGACATCAGAAGACACGATAGTGTCTCGGCAAGCGCAACGACACTGACTACTTTACGCGAGACCGTGAGTTGTGGGGGATTGCGATGATTAGATCTCAATAATGAGGCTGAACCATGAGGTTCTACATATATCTTTTACGACTACATCAATATCTCACGCACATACATACATAAATTTTAGTGAGGTTGTTAAAACAAAATTTGCTCATTAAAAACAAAATTTAAAGTAAAATTTGCTCTTCAATTCCTGACTTAATTTAATAAGCTATACATTTATTGTAACTTTGAATTTACATGTATATGAATCGAAGACAAAAATACTTTGATAATGTTCATTCGCTTTGTACATGATCTAGATGCGAAAGATTGTGAATTACATAGTTAATTATTATTAACTATACATCATTACTATACGTTACGTAAACGATAACCAGAGAAAAATTGAAATATTTTATATACAATTATATATAATTACAATTATATATAAAATGAATTTATATATGTAACAATTTTTCCCGGGAGAGAAAAACCATGGTTACATCACGACTAACAAACTCGAAGTTCTACTCGTATAATGCAATAATTCTTGGTAGTTTTAAAATTTAACTCGCAAAGTGCAGATTGTCTCCAGAAAGTTTAAGTCAGTAAGGCATTCGCCGTTGAAACATTAAAAAATTACAGTCCAAAGAGACAGATATTAGTCAACATTGCTACTAAAAACATTGATTACGTAATTAATATCTATTAGTTATAGTGAATGAATTCGATTATTGTTCTCTTGTAATATACTTCGGTATGTCTGATTTGTCATCGAATTTTCAAGGATATGAAGATAAAAGGAAAGGAAAAATATGGCAGTTACTTTGCGCCACAAATTTTGAATCATTAATGTATCCTTGCTTCACTTTTTGTCGCATTCTGGGAATATTACCATACAAGATCAACGCTTTAACCATTATGACTTGTAAAACATATTGTATTCTATCGATTATTGTTATTTGCCTTTTCTGTATTTACGAATTATTATTATTCTATGACATCAATTTTGTTGAAAACGACATAACCAAAAATATTCCAATTAAACTTGAACGTAACTGTTATTATTTTTTAAATGGTTTTACAACAATCGTCACATTTATTTTGTGTGGACCACGGATACGATTACTTCAGAACATAAGGGAAATTTCTTTAAGATTGCCGCAGAAATCATATCAGAATCTATCTAAACTGATCCATACCAAGGATATTTTTGGATTTTTTTATATAGTCGTGCAAATATCAATATTTGCTTATAAATTGCAATATACCGTCTCATATTACATTTTTACGACATATATCCATTTACTCGTGTTTCAAATGGATATGCTACACATGAATTGTGTTTGTGTATTAAAATCTTGTTTCAAACAAATCAATGATAGTCTGGATTATCTGCGAAAACACATAACAAACGGTGAACCATATCTTTTAAGTAGAACTTATCACAAGCAAAAAAATCTGTTCGTACTAATGCAACTCAAGGCTCTGATGAAGCAGCATTTGGCAATCAGCGATACAGTACAGATGCTGATAATGAATTTCAGTTTGCAATTCCTTTCTACGATAATTATGGCCTTTATTGAAATCACTTTCAATCTATACTATTACTTAGTACAAGTACAAAAAGATGTGTTTATGAGCGACCGGATAAAACAAGCCTTTGACGAAGTATTCGTTACAGCTGTAATGTATGAAACTGTAAAAATAGTGTTGGTAGTTTGGGCTTGTCAATCTAGCAAAAATCAAATCTTGGAGATAAACACTACCGTTCACGACGTGTATAACAACACCAGCAATAAAGATGTAAAATATGAGGTTAGTTTAAAATTATTTTGATTTAATTTTATGTATTGCGTTTGCCAATGCAATTTTTAACATACTACTTATTAAATTTATAACTACGTCTTTCAATCTTATATTTAACAGATTTTTAATTTGCAGTTACAGTTATTTTCCTTGCAATTAATGCATCGTGATAATATATTTTCGATAAAAGTACTTATTGTGGACGCTACGCTTCTCACTACGGTGAGTGAATTATCATTTTGCTTTTGTTAAATATATATGAGTATATTTAGCTGTTATTTTGTTGTTTTTAGATGGTGTATGGCATTAGCATGTATCTATTAATTTTAATACAATTTTTTTTAATGACCAATTCTTGCAATAGAAAAACCAATTTTACAAATGTGGAAGTTTATTAACATAAAAATACTTAAATCAAATATGTAAAATATTAAACATACTTATTTCTATTATTGTAAACAGAATGCCATTGTGAGTGATGTTTTATGCTTATAGTTATATAGTTATATTCGTATATGTGTATGCATATATATATTGAGAATCGTGTAAATGTCTTATATCACACATTTAAATAATCATTTCCAAACAAATGATACATTTTATTTAAGTATATAAATACATTATATAAAAGTATATAATTAGATAATATACGTAATGTCATCATTTTAAAGAAAAATCAGTTTGAACTTATTAAATAAGCCCTGAAAAATTTAAAATTATTCATTCCATTCGTGTTATAACCAATTCTATGTCTATAATCAGGTGTTTTTTTTGGGCAACAAACGAAATTCCACTTACCAATTTTTTCGAAATAAAAAGAACGGAATCCGATTTTCCTTCTTAATTATAAAATATTGTAACTTGTTAAAAAAATATATGGTGTAATTTAATAGATATGTTAAATAGAAATCCTAAATTTTTCACATATTTTTGAATACTTAGAACAATAAAAAAAACTTTGATTGAACAGAAAAGATTGTAAATCATAACAATTAATGTGTAATACAATTTATTTCTAATACACATCAATAATGTATGTATAATAAATTAATTAAAGCATATCTCAGATAAAATGTCGCTATATGATTAATACTAATTATTATTACTAATACATATAATACATTAGCAATATACTTATAAATAATAGAGAAATTAATTTTTCACTTTATGTCATATTGCTGGTGATATATTAGTTTAAAAATTTAATTACAATTTTGCTCATGTAAAGTCATATTTCAGCATTCGATGTTTCAACATGCAATTTTCAGATATTTTTGGTTATCATTATAGAATTCAATTTTTTTATGACCAACAAGCATCCCGCACAATTATTTTATTTTATTACTTTATTATGAAATCGCAAATTAACAGATTGAGAAAAAAGAAAGGACATATATTTAAAAGTAGATACGTTTTATTTCTAAAACTTCTGTAAGATAAAGACACATTTTTTGCGTATTAAAATAACAATGACTGATTTCGAGACACTTTATTTAACGTTTACTTATACATATATATGTAAAAAAGCAGGTGTATCACTTACAAAATATTTGGTTAGTAATGGTCTTTGATTAGTAATTTAAGCAAACAATAATACAAGTAAATTCATAAATACACATGCAGTAAAAAATCTCTAATTTATGAGTCAGTACTACATTTGTATAACTATAATATAGAAGTGCGCGTCAAATTGTTTTTCCGAATTTATTAACAGTTTTGAATTTATTAAGTTTCACAACATATTAACATCTTTATAATATGATGCTTGATGGTAGCATCAAATTAATTAATTGCTTGTCAATTTAATCCACGATTACTAGAGTAGTTAATTAACATTTATAGTCCGGAAAAATAATTCGGCGCGCAGTTCTAAAAAAAGACAATATGGTATATATGCAAGTACATACATGTATATAGTGTATATTTCAAGATTTATTTCAAGATTGAATTATTTTAAAACAATGAAGATTCTTTGATCGTAATAGGCATTTTTCTAGTATTGATTGTGTTTCTCATATTCTCGTATGCGGTCTAAAATAAAGATTCTTAATATTAATTATAAAAGTGTTTATGACTGCATCGGACTCTATCTGTAACAGATAGAAATAAAATAATAAAAGATAAAAATGATATAAAAGCTTTTAATTTAATTAAAGCAGTATAAAATATATGTATATACATATACAAAATGCCGCAAGAAAGTAGACGCATTATTGATGATCATAGCAGATCGGAAAGAAAATTATGCATGAATATAATAGTAATATTGAATGTATAAAATGCAATTTCATAACTATCGTATTACGTCGTATTATTTTTTATCAGTCATATCACAAAGAATATTATTTAAATAAATTGTCTATATTATTTAAAGCGTAAAAGTTTGCTCTTTCTATCTTGATTTTATATGAGCACGATATATATATTTGCTGTATCTTCGTGTTACCTATATATGAATCTAATAGGAGACTAAGAAATATCTTGATAATGTCCATTTGCTTCGTACATGATCTAGATGCGCAAGATTGTGGTTTACATGCCACAGTTGTAAGTATATATATCATTATTTTGTGCGTGTCCGAAAATGATAAGAGAATACCATGGTTACCATGATTAACAAGTTCTAAATTCTGTTTCGTTATATAATATATTACAATAATTATTAACAGTTTAAAAATTAAATTTGCTACGTGTACATAGTTTGCAAGAAATTTATGTCGGTTTGTCCATTCAATGGAGACATCGAAACGTTACACTTGGAATAGAAAGTCTTATAAGCAAATTGTTGCTAAAGAGCATTAATAACATAAATAATAAGATCTCTTTGATGATATTCTATGATTTAGATTATTAAAATATTCTATATTGTCTATAAAATTTTCTATGAATATATTCAGTTCGTTATTGAAATTCCTAAGATCTATGAATAAAAGAAAAGAAAAAAAATTCCGCTACTATTTCGCGCTAAGGATTTTAAATCATTATAATGTATCCTTGCTACATTTTTGCCGAATTCTGGGAATATTTCCATACAAGATCGACACTTCCAATATTAAGGCTTGCAAAAATCGGCGACTTATTGATGCTACGCTTACACACTATGATGAGTGATCAATCATTGACTTTCGTTAAATAAAGGTATTTTTATTTGGAGATTTTGTTTTCATAGATGGTGGATGGTATTACTATATACTTATTAATTTTTATACAATTCTTGTTGGTGTCAAATGTTCGTAATGGAATATCTTTAAAAGATATAATATAGTAAAGTACAATGAAATATCTGGATCGAACATATATTTAAATAGTAAACGTATTTATTTTTATTATTGTAAGTAGAATGTTATAATTAGAGTGTTATAATTAGAATCTCTCAAAGTGTGCATAAAGACATATTCGTGTATACACATATATGTACAAAAGGATTTGAAAGTCTTGTATCACATAAATCAGTTACGAACACCTGATATGTTTTATTTCTTTGAGTGTGCACTTAAAAAAACACATGTAATGTAGATATTTCTTTAATCTTAATGTAGAAATCACTTTAAAAGATTTTATTAGAACAGAAGGAGGTATTACGGCTATTGTAAATGGCTCTTCTTAATATCTTTGTTATTAGATGGCAATTATTTATAAAATTATTTAATCAGTAGCTTGTTATTACACAATGACGCTAATATGCCAATGTACAATTGTCAATATTTATTATAACGCATTTTTTTTCAAGTTCGAAACATTTTTGTGGTATATTTTAGCGTCTTTATTATCTATATAATTACACATATTCTAATTACTTACTTAATTGGAAATAAAATAATAAAAAGTGAAAAAATATGTAAACTTCTTTCAATTTAACCAGAGTAATATATAATCTATATACACAAGATGCTACAAAAACGGAGATGCACTGTTGACGATCATAGCAGAACGGAAAGAAAATTATATACGAATCCAAGTAATATTGAATACACAAAATACAATTCCTTAATTGCCTTATCAAATTTTATGCATATTTTTCATGAGTAATATAACATAAAATTTTTCAAATACAAGATATTGATTAAAAATTGCTTATGTCATTTAAAATAAAAATTATCCTTCTTTTACTTTAGAACAACACGTGTAATATACATATATTTTTGTATAACTTTGTGTTTACCTGTATATAAATCTAATGGAGGATTATGAAGTAGCTTGATAATGTTTATTTGTTTTATGTATCTAGATGCGCAAGATCGTAGTTTACTTGACATAGATAAATATATATTATTTTATGCTTATTTCGAAAATGATAAGAGAAAACCATGGTTACTTGAGAGCCAACAAGTTTTTGAGTACTGTTTCACTATACGATGCTATAGTTGTTAGTAGTTTTAAAAATAAATTCGCCGAGTGTACAGAAAAGTTTATGTCAGTTCATGCATTTGATTCGTGAAGACACCAAAAAATTATTTTGAAAATATATTCTTTTAAACAAATTACTATTAAAGAATATTGATAATATACATAATTACAATTGTTATAATCTACGATTTACATTAATATTCTTTCATAACTTATAATGTTCAATTTGTTATCAAAGTTTCAAAGATTCATAAATAAAAGGAAAGGAACAATATGGCTGTTATTTTACGCTACAAATTTTAACTCGTTAATGTATCCTTGCTTCACGTTTAGTCGCATTCTTGGAATATTTCCATACAAGATTGACGCTTTAAATATTAAAGCTTGCAAATCATACTATATTCTATCGACCATCATTACCTGCGCTATTTGCATTTGCGATACAATAATTGTGCATGACATCAATATTAATAAGAAAATTAAATTTAACAGCATTTCCAGGTTACTTGAACGTAACTGTTTTTACATTTTGAGTGGTTCTATAATAGTCATCACATTTATTTTGAGTGGACCACGAAGGCATTTACTTCAGACTGTATTGAAACTCTCTTCGAAATTGCCTCAAAAATCATATCAGAATCTATCTAGACTAATTCATGCCAAGGATATTTTTGGATTCTCTTTTATAATTATGCTAGCGATATATAATCTTAAAATACAGGGTAGTATATTGGGCAAGATTACCTTAGTATACATCGAAATGTTGGTGTTACAAATGGATATGCTATACATGAATTGTGTTTGCGTAATAAAAGCTTGTTTTAAGCAAATCAACGACGGTCTGGTAAATCTGCGAGAACTTATGGTGAACAGTGAGCCATATACCTTGAGAGAAATAAATGACAAAGAGAGAAATACAGTTATATTGATGGAACTCAAGACATTGAAAAAGCAGCATATGGCAATCAGCGATACAGTACAAATGCTGAATATGATCTTCACTTTGCAACTCCTTTTTACAATAATTAAAACTTTCATTTTTATCACTTTCAACCTGTATTTCTGCTTATTGCGAGCACAAGAAAGTGATTCTTTAAACAATCCGGAAAAAGAGATCTATTACAATACCTTAATTGCAAATATAACATTTTACATTACAAAAATAATGTTGATTGTATGGTCCTGCGAAACCAGCAAGAATCAAGCCATGGAAATCAGCACTACTGTTATCGATATATCTAATAGCAATAATGATAAGGAAATAGAATATGAGGTAAATATTAAATTAAAAAGAAATTTAATTCGCATATTTCATTCGCTATTTATTAGCTCCCAGCGTATATTAATGTCATATTCAATATATTACTTATTAATTTTATAAGTGCGTTTTTCAATCCTGTATTTAACAATTTTTTTATTGCAGTTAGAGTTATTTTCTTTGCAATTAATGCATCGCAAAAATATATTCTCTGCAAAAGGATTTACTATTAACGCTAAACTTCTTACTACGGTGAGTGATCAATCATTTACTTTCGTCTAATATCGGTATTTTTAACTTTATTTGAAGATTGTGTTTTTTTAGATGATGGGTGGTGTTGCTACGTATCTATTAATTCTAATACAATTTTTGCTTATGTCGAATTCTTGCAATGCAAAAATCTAATTTTGCATATTCTAGTTAATATAGTAATATAGTCTAGTTAAGATACTCATATCGAAAATACAAAAAAGATATTTAAATAATAATATACACTTATTTTTTATTATTATAAATAAAATGTAAACTTTGAGTAAAGTTGTGTTTCATGCTTACAGAAATATTCATATATGTATATGCATATATGTACAGAAATGAAAGTTTTATATCACGTAGGGAAGATCAGGATATTATGGGTCATTGGCTGTTTAGAATAATCCAAAAATTTAGATCAATATAACTAGTATTATATGATTGTTATTTTATTGCCCATACTTCGTATCTAAGTGAAAGTGATTGAACTCCATTGTAACGGAATGCATGTCGTTAATAGTTTTCGTGTTGCAAAAGTAATTTTTTAATCATTTATAGAAATGCTTTAATATTGTTTATGTATAATATAAAAGATACACATATTGAAGATCAAGGGCAAGTTTATATGTATCTTTTTTCATCTTACTACACTATAAATAATCATTTGTCTGATCTGTTATTTACTTTTTGGATATATATAATATTTCACCGTTTTTTATAATTATAAGAATGTTCGGGTATCGTATGTTACTCACTAAAAGAAACAAGATAGTAGTAAGTAATAGCTAAAATAAACTATAAACCTAACAACTGTAGCAGCTATAGTTATACAGCTGTCATAAATGAGCTGTAAATCTAACAATCATAACAGTTATAAATCTAAGCAAATAATTTTATTTTGCCTTCATAAGAGAGAATTATGTATTCTATCTATTCATTGATCAATATAAATATATGGATTTTTTATTTTATTAGTTAGTTTTTATTTTAATAGTTATTAGTCGTAGTGTTATATATTATTATATTCAATGACTATGCTAAGACTGTGTAAGTTAACTGAAATTCCTTTCATCATTGTTATTTCTTAAACAAATCTATTTTTGTAAAATCGATATAGAGCAGTTTGAATTATTTTTCACAAAATATATTTATATCTTTCCCACAAACACCAATCAATATTTATTAAATATACTCAAAATATTTTTAAATACATATATAATTCTTTAATTATAATATAAAAAAAGTAAGA